AAACCAAGAATTATAGACCTGCTTGGGTTGGAAGGGACCTCAAAGATAATCTAGTTCCAACCCTTCTGCCACAGGTAGAGATGCTGGCTGCTAGATCAAGCACTACATTGGGACATTTGCTAAGTTCTGAGCCTGATCCAGCGTACCCACCCTCTGAGCAGGCAACAAAGATCTTGTCAGCCTTTCCATCAACCATGCAAGACAAAATAGTGTTTAAATACACAGCTGAATCGTGCAGTATTGAACCTGTTCAGACTTAAGAAATGCCTTTAAGTCAGAGATCAGGCTGCAAGGTACCATCAGTATAATTGTGACTATGCAACAGTCCATAATGCATCAGCTCTAATGTGAAGTTATTACTGGAGTCTCAGTGCTGATACCTGTGTTAAGCCTCTGAGCACTGCCCAGTGTGAACTATGTGTTTCCACAAGACTGAGCAGACCCAGACAGAGCTGATTGCTCTTGCAGTTAATAAAAAGCGCTGCACTTTCTCTCTTGACAATCCCGACACCTGAGTGCTTCCTACGTATGACAGTTAGCACATTCTGGTTGCTCAGTGGCCTGTGAGAAATGAGCCTCTTCTCAATTTAGTTCCTATCATCAGACAAGCGGTACACACAATAAAAAACACACCTTGACAGTCAGCCCCCAAAGTAGCCCCGGGGACCGAGGGCTTGGACTTCCCTTCTCTCATATATGATCCCCGTTAAATTGATACAATTTATTGGAGAGGATTCTCTCCCTACCACCTCCAGGTAAATCAGGTAACTTCACCGAGGTCGCTTCAGTTCAGTATCAAAGCACAGCATAGCCTGGAGGAAGGGAAAATCTCCTGACCCCACCAAGTTTCTTCTTGAGCTTGTCAGTCTCCCCACAGTCAGGGAAGCATAAGAGCACTGTCTATGCATACAACAGCATTTTCTACTTCTTCACCTTTCCACTTTTGGCTTTGTGTCGTTGGCCAAGGAGCTGCCTTTCCTGCAGCTAACAGCAGTGGGCTGGGTAGGATCTCCTTCCTTCCCAGGACAGAGAGAAGGGCATATGGCAAAGGGCTGGGGAAGGGGGAAGCAGGTGGATGCTGCACGAGCATGGCTTCAACCCAGCTGAGCCCGTCAGGTCATGTCAAACAGAGCTAATATAAATGTCAGTGTGCTGTTTCAGTGGTGAGATCTCTGTTGTAATGCAGTTCATTTTCAGTCTTCCAAATCTATGGATGCTATCAGCTGACGAGTCCAGCCAGCACCCTTTGCCAAAAAAACACGCGCGCTCAACATTTCTCAGGAGTTCCCCCCTCACACCCCACCCTGTGACACACTTCTGTCAGATTTCTTCTGGGCGCTGGATTTCTGAGACACGACACTGTCCACACCTTCCAGATAATGAGTTTAACATTTCAAGGACAGAAGCTCTCAATCTCAGCGAGACACGGGAAAGATCTCCAGTCCTGTTTTGGGGCAGGTGCCGACGGTGCTCTTCTAAGCTCCTTTGGCATCCTCTGTTTTAAGGTAATCAAAAGGAGTAGTAAGAGATGACGCAGAGCTCAAAGTCCCATCGTTACTATCGCTATAGGTAAACAGGATGTCGTTGTTAACAGTAGCTTAAATTCTTCTCTCACTGTTCCTTGCTTTTAGAATAAATGTGACGCCATTTTGGCAGCTCAGGCTGGAGCTGGAATATCCTCTGCTCCCATCCTGGCGAGTTGTCTGGTCCACTCCAGCTCCACTTCTCCACGTATGAGCAATTTTTGTCTCCTAACATTGTCCTCTCCTCCTCCAACCCTGGTCCCAGCTTCTAACATCTGCTTCCAATTGCATTTTTTTTACTTCTTCCTCTACTTTCCCCTTTTTGCCTTCATTTATGGCACACTCTATATGTAATAAATTAGAGGAAGATGAACGAGTTGAAGATATTGTTTATGTTAGAAGTCTTAGTATGTGTGTGCGCCAGGTCATTGCAGAAGTAAGAAAAGAAAGATTTTGTGGGGGGAAAATTAGAAATTCATGGTCAGCTTAAGATGATGGCTCACCATTCATGTGTAAATGTAAAAGGTACTCCCTGGCATTTTACTTTAGAACTAAACAATTGCCTCATTTGACATATATTGTTAAATTCCAGCCCAATTTCTACAAAAGAGGACGGGTTCTAAAATAATTTTTTGTTCTCTTTTTCCCTACGCTAAACTAAGCATATTTTCTTATATTTGGTGTGCTTTACTGCATAATAATAAATTTATAAGAGCTCCCCTACCTGTCACTTTCTGGAATTATAAAACACATGCTCCCACCTGCACACTACAATACCAGTATTTACAAGCTTGTATAGGAATTGCAATATTTTTCCTGCAAGTTTTTTCTTATTTTTCATTTCCAGCTGCTAATAGTTCATAGAGTTTAGAAGATCCTGAGGTGAAGGTGTGACTTAAACACATACTATAAAACTCTGAAAGTACCCACTGTACTTCAGTGTAAAGGCTATATAGTTTATTATATCTGCATATTCTCTAGAGCCTTAGTGACTGTTTAGAATCACAGATTCTTGGGTTGGAAGGGACCTTAAAACCAGCCAGCCCCAACCCTGGCCATGGGCTGGTTGTCACCAACCAGAGCAGGCTGCCCAGTGCCCCATCATCCAACATGAGATATGAAGACCCCACTGCCACTACATGGCTGCTTCTACAAATAAACTCTGGATGCTCTTGCTGACTTCTCTGAAGTGAAAATTGAATCAAGTTGTTCTGCTCTTCTTCCTCCTTCTGCCATCTCAGTGTCAAGCATTTTTCTTTTTATATCCTTATAACCTAGAAGTCTAATTTCAAGTCCTGATCTTCGGTTTCCCCTCTCAATTTTTTTCTCATACTCCTGAACCTGTCAGTGTTCTCTCTATTTCAGCTCTCTCAATAATGTGCTTTATTTTTTCAAGTTGTGAGTTTTTCTCCTTGTCTAATATGCGTCTCTGGAGCTCCCTTCCCTCTCTAGGCTTATACAGTTTTCTTTCTCCACCTTCTTTGTCCTCTGTAGCCAATCATACCTCCAACTGAAAGAACTCTCAAAAAAAATCTTCCCCTATTTCTTCTTGGGCAAAAGCTAAGGGCAGAGTGCCAGCCTCAGGCTTTTGACCCATCAGCCACTTTTGACATCTTTGCTTGCTCTGTGAATTCTGCGCATTTGTGACTCAGTCCTTCACTGATGCTGCTCTTGTTGACTGAAGGAGGCCCTTCACCTCCATCCCCACCCTCCAATTTTGTGTTGACTTTGCAGATAATAATCCTTTGCCTCTTCTGCTCCCATACTTTTCTCTTGGCAATCCTGCCTATGCGTACAAACCCAAATATTATTGCTATGACAATGACTCATAAATCTATTCTGAGCTTTTTTTCTTTTATCCAAAAATGTGTCTGTTTCCTTCAGAGTTTTATTCATAATGAACAAACAGAAAAGATGCTGAATTTTCCAGCCCTCCACAAAACTAAAACTCTTGCAGAGGATTGGGATTGCTTGCTTTTATTCATGGAAACATCCTATTTTCTGGACAAATTGGATCATATTCCTGTGCTTTAAAATTGCTCTGTAAATGCAATTTCCCTAACTTATTGGTATGACCAAGTCACATCTGTCTTGGCTACATTCCCCTGGCAGCCCTTTTCTCATGGCAGTTCTTCTGCTTCGTCAAATTGTTTCACCAAACACAAGCTACTCTTCGCTTTGAAGACATCCTCCTAATTCACATACATTGTACAGCTATAGCATGGTCTGCTGAAACCCTGCTGGCCATATTCAAATCAGAATCAGTTCCTCTGGTGCTTCTCTTTTGGCAGCCAGCATCATTCCAGCAGGCAGCATAGGGGAAAAGCAGGCACACACACAGCCCTCTACTGCCTGTGGCAGCCAGAGCACCTCTCCTCATACTGCCTCACCTGCTGACACAATCCATCAGCGCCCACCGAAATCAAATGCAGCTAATTGGAAGGTGATGACAGCCAAGGGACTGCTGGATTTGCATGCTAATTCCTCTATTTTAGCATCCCACAGCCAAGCTACAGGTAAAATGAGACTGAGTGCTTCATTCCAGACAATTTCCTGTCTTCTTTTCCACAGCACACAAGCACATATACCCATATATTTTCTCTTGGCTTTGCTGTCCTGAAGCCAGAAATCAGCTGGAGATTGCATTACACGTGCTTTCCAAAAAAGCCAGCCAAGAACTGCAAGGGGCAACATGTTTTTGTCCTCTCATTGGGACAGGGCTGCAGACTGCAGCTGTAGATGAGCCCTTAAACATCTGAGCAGCACAGCTGATGACTGCAGAGCAGAGCACTTTCTGCAGGCTGGGTTACAGCTTCCTTGTGCCTTTTATGCCAGGGCATACAATGGATTCTCAGCTCTTGTTTCATGCAGAATTGTTGAATTATGCTTTGAGTATCCAACCTCTACCACTGTTCTACCTCTGGCGTCTGCCCTTGCTCTAAGTCTACCAATTATTTCCTTTAAGTGTCAGCAGCACACCAGGCACACAGAGATATAACCTTACTTCAAGTTGATGCTGTTAAACTATTGCTTGAAACCGTAGTCGCAGTTGACAAGTGCTACTTCAGTCACTAATAACAACTTCAGAAGTGCTAGTGGTGTCTTGGCTCTTAATGCTGTGGCTCAGAGCTCTGGGAACATCTTTCCAGGTCATTTAGAGCCATCCATCTGATCTGAAACAAGAGCAGTCAGTCTCTTCATAGGCTCTGCTCCTTGCTTGCTGCAAGGTCCTCTGTTCATCTCCTTAGGACTGCAGCAGTGGCGCATCTGGGCAGCTGGCTGCCTTCTGGAAAAACCCTATTTTGGGACACGCCTACAAAAATGTCAGCGTTTGCATTAAGGGAAAGGTGAGGGGTTCACTGCTTGTAGCTGAATACAGTCCTTTTGTGGGAGGAGGCTCTTGTCTCCTTGCCCCATCATGATTTTGTTTGTTTAATTTTAATTTTAACTTTTTTTTTTTTTTTTTTTTTTTTTAAGCAGGTTGAACTCTATCCTGAGGAAGTCCATCTGTCTGTATGGAAGGAGCAAGACAAACGCTTGGACATGAGTCCCAGCTTTGCAGCTGCAGGTAGAAAATACTTTTCCTTTCCTTTCACACTCCCTTATTTTCAGGCCCATCTCCTTCAGACTAATCAAGACATCTGAAATATCTCAGAGCCAGAGGCTTCACAGTTTGGCAGGGATCGCAAACATTTCCATTATACTTTGGCAGGTTTTTGGCACAGTCTAAGGATAAATTGGGAAGAGAGTAATTTAAGACAAGGCCAGATCATCTAGGTCACTGAGCCTTCTGCCTTCTGAGATGCTCAGTCCAAAACAACTTCCACTTTTCCTTTGCCTCTTGTACATAAGAAGACACAGTGGGGTGTAACAAACCAAGTATGGCTTTCCAACAGAAGCAAAATATGTCAGGTTTTAAGTCTCCTTGTCATGTCAGTCTCTTCATCTAAATTCTGAAGCTATCTTTTGTGTAGCCCAGCCTTGGTCTAATGTCTTTTAGAAAATGATGCTCATTTAATTCCTGAAATGTGAAATCTAGGTCTCAGGTCAAGAGCATAGATGTTCTTTAGCTGAAAAATTCAGATCCATCAGAGACTGTCTCAAGGAGTCTATAACTTCTCAGACTTTGGATTGCACCTTGACTCTTGCATCCATATATATAGTCTTTTGAAGAGTGGGATCTAAATAAAAATAACCTTGAAGGATGTGGAACATTTTACACCCCCACCCCTTCAATTTTTTGGAAGGTAAAAGACTTCTTCAGGGCCACAACTTGTCTGCACTGAACAAATAGCCAGGCTTCAGCTTAATATTTATCCCTCCCTCATTCCGTATCCAGACCAGGACTGCTTTGTCAGGCAGCAGTTGGATGAGACTTGATGGGAGAATCACCCAAGACAAGAAGTGCAAAGGGGTTTACCACTGCAGAGACATGGAAGCACCTCAGCTAGGACAGCGCTGTTTTGTTGAATGATGCATGTGCTCCCACTAACTCAGGTCAGAAAGGAGCTGTCAGAGACCTGCCTCTCTTGAAAAGCATGTGGATTTCATCTACACAAGCATAACTGCTATTACTGTCAGTGGTAATATTCCCTTCTTGACACGTATGTATTATTATTAATCTTCCAAGCTATTTCTAAGCTATTAACTTTACAAAACCCACAGGGACTGTTAAGGACAATGGAGTTGAGCCTGTTCCACAGGCAGGGAAAATGCACTAGATGCTATCGTTAGATTGATTTGGGAGAAAAGAAAAAATAAACCCAGTTCTTCTCCTAGTAGTCATATGGACAACTTAAATCTAGTTCCAAACAATCAAAAATCATCCCTTCATGGTTGCTAGATGACAGGTCTCTGGCCAAGCCACATACACTCTGGTAGCAATAGGCTTAGATACATTTCTTGCCAGGCAAGTTTCTAACCTTCAGAAGCTGTGTTAGCTATGGGCAGGACATAGCAATAGCACAGGGAAATTTTCAATTTCAAAAAAATTTCAATTTTCACAGGGAAATACCTCTGGGACAAAGGAAAGATTGTGTGGCATTTAGAACAGATTGTGTACACGTATGAGAAGGCAACAGAAAGCTCATTCAGAAGGCAGCTGCTTCTTTATATCCTCTCCATGTGTATGAACTTACGGTTGTATGAACAGACATATCCAGTTATTGAAGTATTTGATGATCCAAAGTGCTCACGGCCCTCTTATATCATCTCATTCATCACAGAAGCCTCGTACAACCATTTTACAGGTGTCAGCCCCCAGTAAACACAATAGCTCACCAATAAAGCATGGTGTCTCCCTCTGTCAGGAGGACTGTAGCATCACTGGTATTTAAGAGGTGGTACTTTTGATATGACGCTTATTTAAAATTTGTAAAAGAAAAAAAAAAGATGTAATAAATCTATGCATTCTTCCTAAGCAGCCATTGAAAGTCTGAATGCTCTTCTCCTTTCCAAAAGCATCAGGCGTTTAATGTTTGCTAAGTAGTTTTTACATGAATTAGGGCGTTTGAATGAAGCACTGTCAGTTACAAAATCACGCTGTTGTCTCCAGCTAATTTTGTGTTAGCGGCTCTTTTAAACTGCTAAATCTAGTTTTTAGTGTATGATGATTTTGTTTTGTGATGGTGTAAAACAGCTGCTACTTTTCTGATGAGTTGCCTATTTTCCATTTTACGTCTCTGCAAGATGTTGAGTTTCATCATGGCCCAGTCTGACAGGCAGCTGAGAACCTGCAAAAAAGAAACAACCAAAATTACACAAAAAGCAACGATCCCTCAGTCCAGGACTTCAGTCATTCTTATGACCAGACTTCAGAATGATTGATCTTCCTTCCTTCCTTCTCAGTTTTAACCCTGAGGTCATTAGGGCTCTTCTGAACTTACTGGGCACCAAGCTCTTATCGTCATCATATTGCAGCCGCTTGTGAATCAGGGAATGGAAGCAAGAACCAGACTGCCTGTGAATCAGTACCCCCCACTTCTGGCATCTCTCTTAAGGCTAATTTCTATTGCCTTTCTGCAAGGTATCTTGCACTTAGTGCTTACCAGAAGTCCTCATGGGGTGTTCTGTATGCTGCCCTGTAGATACTTGGCTACAACTTTCCCATAGAGATAAGCAACCCTTCTTTACTTAGTGGCATAAGGCTGAACAATTATCTTTGGTCTCTCTTGTCTCCTGTGTCCTCCTGGCTGGCATTTGTTCCATGTGCACAAAAGCAAGAAAATGGTGAAGCATGAAAGCAGTGCTCAAGGAACTCCTCAAACAAATGAAGACTGAGATCTTACCAATAATAAGCTACACTCTATAAAAGAATCTTAGATTTGGACAGACAAATTGGAAGCATCTCACCTCCCTGATTCTTCCTTCCCTTTGTCTTGGAAATTGGAAGCATCTTGCCTCCCCAGAACAGCACTCAGCCTTTCCCAAAAGCTGTGCAACCCATTGAACAGGAGTGGTCTAAACTATTATGGAGATCTTAAACTGCCAAACTGATACAAGCTAAAATTGATTGCCTACTGAGCTTGTGAAATGAAGTGCTAGAAAGTGCATAGAGAGAAATAGGGAAGGAGTGCTAAGGAATTTGCTTCTTTATGCTTCTTTTTTTCCCCTACTTTTCCTTTGCATGCAACACCGTCATTACCTTTCCAAGTCATCTTGCCTTAATGAGTTCTGCATCTCCCTCTCTCAATAATCATTGGACTGTTTCTCCTGGTATTTCCAACATAAAAGGTTTTCTCAGTTTGTCTTCTAATTTGCCTGTTGCCATGTCACTGCTGAAGAACTGCACAAGTAATTCAAAGTCAAATCCAGAGGGAAAATTGATGATGTGGACAGTATGACATTTAATCCCCCCTCAAGCTAAAAACCCTTTTTAGCTTTATAAATCTAAAAATCCTCCCTTAGCCTGTTTCATTCTATTCTGCATTGGTTTTATTAGCACCCTCATCACCAGAGCATCTGAACACCTTCGAGTAGTACATTAAGCAACGTGACTAACATCTGTCACATATAGTTTTCTTGCTCTCTCAGCATCCTTAAAATGAATTTAGTGCTTGTGTTGGATCAATAGCGCTGGAGACAGATGGTCTCTGTTCAGCCCCACCAGGGGCACAGCATGAGGGAGACCCTTGGATGGACCCCCCAGCCTGCTGCCCTTCTGCCATCACACCCTTTTTTGGTCCAGATTTGAACCGAATTTACTCTAAGCAGGTCAGAGAAGTCAGAGCAATGCTGGGAAGTCAGATGAGGCACTCAGTGGTAAATTTCTTCTGCCAGGAGCCTTCAACAGAGACAGCAGTTTGAGCCACTTGAACTCATGTCAGTGCAGGTCCTGTGTTAGGTAGGACAGTAGTTGTATCCTATGGAGCAAAATCTAAGCATCCTGAGGCACTGTAGTTTCAAGCAATATGTTTTCTTAATGGGACAAGTATGCTTTACCTAATTTTGCTTTGAGTACGTGGGATTGTTATTGCTCAGTGGCCTCACGCAGGTGTTTAAGCAGTTCTGTGGTGTGATTTTTCAATAGTGGCATAAGGTTTTATTGACTGTTACCTAAAGAGTAACTTCAGAGTAAATGAGCATATGCAGCCAATTGTGATGGATGCATGTGGGGCTATGGCAGAAAACTCACGAGCTGGTGACTTCTTTGTCACAGTCTGTTGTGTTTTGGGTAAGAGTATAATGTAACTGGAACAGGACTCTATTTTTCATACAGTAAGAATTGGGAGAATTTATTTATGCTTCCCATGAAAACTGTTGGCTTTTCAGTTCTGATAATGTGAACGTGCTGAGGAAAATTCTAGGTAAATAAAATTCTGATGTTTGTCAGGATACTGGGGTATAGGGTATATTTTGGTTTACAAGTGCCTTGTATGGCTGACTAGGGTACTCTGTGTGATAACTGAGATTAGAGCAGTTTTGAAGCATGATAGAGCTCTGATCCAATGTAAAACTTTGCCTTGTTCTGTGCCCCATCCTATTCAAGGCCAGGCTGGACTGGGCTCTGAGCAATCTGATTGAGCTGTAGACATGCCTGTCCAGAGCAGGGAAATTCAACTAGATGACGTTTAAGGGTCCCTTCTGCTCAAATGCTTCTATAAAACCCAGAGGAGTAATAGCCTTTACTTCTCACTGTTCTTTCTAATCCATAAGAGGCCAGCCGAGGCTGGTTGGAAACCCTGTCCATCCTTCAGGACTCAGTCAAGGCACGATCGGAAGCCCTTCTCTGTACAAAACCCTGGACTGTGCTACAGACCTAGCAGTAATAGAAATATGAGATATCTGATCAAGAAAGATAAATACATCTATTTCAGAATACATAATCCTACCACATATGTGAAGTAGTTTAACCATTAGCAAGTTGTCAAGCGTTATTGAATGGAGTTAAACTCTTTATTTCTGTGCAGGATCTATTCTGTTTTCCCCCCCTTTTCTCCCCTTCCCAGTACAGTGAGCTTTTATACGATACACATTGCAGCGCCTGGGGCAGATGACACTTGCCAAGGGGCTTGATGATCAATTCTGATACAAATCTGACATGAAAGTCTTGAGAGAATCTGGATCAGATGATCAATGGGAGACAGAAATCCACATTTAATGCTGTGCTGCTCCTAAATGTCTATGCCTGTCTCAAACCGAGATCCAAAAGCAAGCACAATCCACAAAGACAACATATGGACGGGTACATGGACAGAGGTGTGAGGATGGCATTTCACATGCCCTTTCTGAAATGAATGTCATGGAAGTATTACATGCAGGATTGACAGCCCTTCAGGTCTAAGTATGAAGTTAATCATGAAAACATGGATCAGAGAAATGCTAGTGATCACTTTACCACCCAATCTCTGTGCTACAGAGTCCATGGGCAGAAAATAGTTTCCATTTTATTTTTATTTCTGTAAAAATATGTTAGATTCTCTGATTCAAAGATGAAAGAGAGACCTATTACCAGCTTCAGACTTTGGAGCCATGCCTTCATTTACCACCAGTCGGTTTTGCTCCTCTCCCTATTTCTCCCCAAGCCTGGCTGCATCTGAGTATTCATGAATGCACTTTATTATTTCTCCCCTCACAGTTGCTTTTTTCTTCCCACACCTGCCAACATTAGCTCCTTCCTTTGAATCGTGCTGCCGTACAGCCTAATGCATGTGATCTTCATGCCAAGACATTATTTAATTTCCCAACAAAGTTCTTTTGGCGTGGAATGAGCAGTAAGAGCACAGGAGGGGAGGCATAGACGGAGTGGGAAGGGAAACAAGAAGGAAGAAGGACTCCAATGTATTTTGCCTCTGGCTTCAGACATGAGTGGTTTCGGGAAGTGGCTGGGGAGCAGCGTGGATGGGGTGGTGGTGGCAACAGGGGGTTTGTGGATAGCAGGTTGCTGAATCAGGAACCCTGACACTTGTGAAGTACTCTGTCAGGAACATTAAGTATCCAAAAGTGATAAAGCTTCAATTTGCTAGTCCATTAGACTAATTACTGCAATAATTAAGTAACTACTTGATTAGAACTAATGGGTACCTAATTATCCAGGAGAAAAGTATCAGGTGGCAATTATCAGGTGGCAATTAATAGACTGGAGTTAATGTCTTAGCACTGTCTTTGTATGAATTCATAAGCAAGGTAAAGAAAACAAACAATAACTTATTAATATTTATTGGTGCCACAGTGTTTTTCAGCTTGTTTCATTTACACAGAACCAATTAGTGAAAAGACAGTTATTGTTGCAAAGACGTAAAGTGACTGAAGCAGGAGTTTGATTTTAAAGGAACAGGATCACATTAACACTTATAAGCAAAGACAAATGGATATCAGCCAGGGACTTGGTTCTGGTGCTGCTTATTCATCAACAGAAGAAATCAGAGTAATTGAGCTCAGTATTAATAATGAAACACACAGGAAGGCAGCTCTGGTCTTAATGGGGTTCACTTTGGTATTGGCCCCTCCCTGGATCTTCATCAGCATTTTCTACAGTGCATGGAAAACAGAGAGAGTGCCTACCTGAATGAGTGAGAGCATCCTGTGGGCATGGGTGGGAGACACCATAATAGCATCTTCCAGATCAATGCTGCAAGCTCTCCGAAGGAGACAGCTTTCCTGGGCAGGTACTGCCTGGTTGCAAAGTTGTTACAGATGCAGTTTCCATAATGAAGGCAGTGGAACTCAATGTATGCTGGTTTACCTGTGTAAAGAAAGCATGGGGACATTCTCATTCCCAATATTTCTCCTTAGTTTAGCACCCATCTGAAACACCTCTGGTAATTCGTGTGAGAGAGGTCCGAAGCCGAACTGAACCTGCTCTAGAGCTTGGATGCTTCGAGTGTATTATTATAGTTGTTGTTTTCTTTTTTTGGCCATGCAAAGGGCCAGCTTCTCAGATGGTGTACACTAGTGTCCTTTCTTGGGTGTCAACACACCAGTAGTGATTTACATGGAATCAAACTATGACCTACGATCTACATTTCCCACTCTCCAAATTCAAGAGGCTTTAAATTTCCCAACAGAAAAATGAGAAAGCGCAGGGAATTCCTTCCTATGTATTTTTATGGCCGTAAACGATCATTGCTCTTCTTAAATGAGTTTCAGACCAAAACTGTTGTGCGTGCAAAGGATCTCCTTGTCTCTCTGCAGGAGAGCTCATATTAGCAATAATTACTCTCATGAGTAAGCGTTTCTACAGTGTGATATACAGTGAGTTGGCAACTGCTTCTGGAGTACAGAATGAAGCCTGGGTTCGCTCGTAAACTTTAATCCTTTAAAATTTAACTTTAGCAAATGAAAGACCAAATTATCAGATGGATTTATGTCAGTGCAGTGAGATAGAGCTCTGCAACGCTCCTCTTTGTGGAGGCTGAGGATCTGGCCCTTGCAAAAGCCGTTCTCCCCCCTCTATCCTTTTCTCCGTGGTATAAATAAATGAAAGGTGTCCTAATCATATTTTAGACTGTGTGCAGAGTCACATGCAAAACCATAATGTCTCTGTATTAGAACATGTGGAATGATAAATGGAGATAAATCTAAAATTTATAGAACACGAACATTTGCATAAACTGCAATATCCAAACATATAGGCTGTTAAGTAACAATTGTCACAAAGGGCATAAAAAATTCAACTTTGTTTCATAAAAAGAACTCAAATTCCTAACATGATTAAGATAATATATCATTTGTTCCTATCTTATTAAAGGCATAATTGTTGTTAGACACAGAAGTGGCATTAAGTCTAATCTGGCTTTATATATGTACAAATAGAAGGGGAGGTGAATGTGAAAATTGATGCTTTTGGTGATCCATAGGCATTTTATTAATGTTTGAATAATAACTGCCTGGAGGGCCTGTTATAAATTAAAGGGACGAATTGAGATATAAATTTTTATGAGGACTAGTTATACATTTCCATTATGTGTTTAAAAATGAAGGAATTACTGTGAACACAGCAGAACTCACATTTATTTGAGGTGATTTGGATGGAAGCGGAGGTGCAGTGAAGGAAGCTGCATGCTGGCTGTAAGAAAGATGTATCTGTCCCTTTGAAGAGATATATCATATGTCATGCATGAACTCGGTTCTACAGGAGACTTTTCTCTGCAGCTGATTTCGCATGATTATTTATTTGACAACAGCAAGTGATGATATAGCAATGAGTTTTAGGCCACTTAGAGAAGAAAGCTTATTCTTAAATCACAGAGGAGTTCCCCAAACCCAACTATTGTCAAACCAGAGTTAATCTAATAGAGGAATCCAGTAATTTCTTTGGCATTTATTTCTCATTATTTCTCCTGTCTGGATATACACATCTTCATTTGCAGCGCATTCACATGTCCTGCAGTGTATCTCAGAACTTCCTCATGCCCCTTCTTGTGGCTGATTGCAGGAACTCAGCTCTCATTGCTGGGTGGGTACTGTACTCTGGCTGTCCACCAGAGCAGATGTCCTGTAAGATCCACAGTTAGTCCCATCAATGCGCTTTTCCCATGACATGGAGGGTGAAGATAACCCAGTATCTTCAATGAGGCAGGCACTTTGGCCTGAGAATGCATCTTTTCATGATGGAGAGGGTGCATTACCCCAGTACTTAGGCAATCACTTACTGTATGGGGGAACTCTTTTCCACTGCCTTGTTTATTGCTGCTGACCTCTGAGGGCGAAGCCTTTTAGATCAAATTCTTCAGGTTATTTTGTATTTAACCTTTATTTAAAGCCTTGATTTTTCTTGATTTCGATAGATGCAAGGAAACCGATATCCAGGAGGTCCTGACCTATTTTCTCTGCGTGGCAGTTCGTTGTCTGTACAACAAGGAGACTCAAACAAGTGGTTTGAGGAGGAAAGTGTTCATCGGTGTGATGCTGAGAGAGATGATTATGTAGTACCATCTGCAGATATGCCGGACCAATATAGCAATTGTGCTAGTGTGTTCTGGTGGTGTTTTATTGCAAGACACATAGCATAGAGGTCTTCCTGCTGTCTTTCTTGTAAATGAATTAATTTGCAATTTTTTTGTTGTTGCTCCTCCCAAGCACCACTCTAATCATAGTCATGAGGATTAGGCAAGTATTCCCTGTTTGGATGAGGCCTGACTCCTTGTGAAATATGTTTGGCTGGTGCTCTTGGCTTGCAGAGAGCCCAAGATCTTAAAGAAACTGATAAAACACTGAGATTTAGCTCAGCTTCGGTTCTCAACTTTGAAGCATCAGTCCTGGATCCGCTAACCAGATCACTGTGTACACTTGGAGAACAGTGGCTGAGAGTGTGCTTTGATCTACAAACAACACATTTTTCCCCCGGGGTGAAAATGAGAAAAACAACAAAATGTCTTCGTGGTTTTCATTAAAAGTCCAACTTTTAGCAGCCCTTTGAATCTGGATCAGCTCCCCAAGTAGATTACTCTGTAGATTGCTCTGTAATCTCACTTTGTGACAGTAGGAGGAATGATCCACTTATTTCCTTGTTTGTTGATGCACTTGGTTCAGCTTTCCAGGACTTTGTTTCTTCCCTTGCAGTCTTAAAATTTGAAACCCTCCAAATCTTACTCAGATCAAGTTCAAGTGTGCCCTTCCTTCAAGGATAGAACCGTGCTTGCAGCTAACATCTAGTAGGTATTCGCATAATGAAATTTTCTCATGACTTCATACAACTGTCCTGATTATGTGGAATCTGTTTTTGAAAATACCTTCTGACTAGTTCGAAAGCAGCAAAAACTCTTCTCCAGTCAGTAGAAGCCTTTTCTAAACGTGCTGGACAAGCGAACAATTAGGCAAAAGAATCCCACCATTTCCCCAAAGTGTATTTTTTTCTCTGTGTGTTATTCAAAGGACAAATTCACAAGAGTTTCTTCAGGCAAGGTGCAGAGGAACATTATAGAGAGTAAGTTCTATGACAGAATTAGCAAATGTATTAAGTACAGTGCCAATCTGGTATAGCAGAAATGACTAAATACCCATCAGGGCCTGTCACTCGTCAAGAAGTGAAATCTTAGACCCATTTAAGTCAATGACAAATGTTCACAGAATCTGGCTGCAAGTTAATAAATGTTTGGAGCCTGTATAACTCAGACTCTGATATTTGTCAAATTAATTATTTGATTGATCTTATTGTCTGTCAAAAAATTCTTCGTGGAGTTTGAATGCTTTGTGTTTTACTATCTATAATTTTGATGAAGAAAGCCTCATACAAGAATAGGGGATATATCATTGCAAGTTTTATGCTGGGTCACAGACAGTTATAATACATAATATGAAATAATGTAGCTGAGTATGGAATTGTAAAATGTTCAAAATGGACCAGCTGGGGTTGTATCTTCTGCCTCCTTTTGGTCATTTCTTGGTTTGGGAGTGCTTTAATATTCAATCTGAACTTTCTTTTATCAGATTCCTTTCACTAGACTACATATACAGAAAATGAAAGAAAATAACTCCACACGTACACCAATTCCTTCAGCTTACCCTTGCCTCTAACACAAAACACAGGATTTCAAGACTATATACATCAGGTGTTTTCAGCAAAGTAGCAGCAGCAGCAGCAAATCATAGACATTTGTCATTCCTTGGAGCTGTCTGACAGTTCTGACAATTCATTAGGCTGGGCTGAAAAGCGGTTTAGAAAGCAAAGGAAGGATCACAGGTAGTGGAGTTGCTTTTGCATGATCCAGTAATAGCTGATTTGTATCATTTTTGGTGATGGATACACTGTTCAGATTAGACTCAGCTGAATTTTTCACCCTTATTCTTCTCTTTTTCTTTTTCTCCTCCACAAGGAGCTTCCGGGCACATTAGTCTAGATTTAGACCTCAATTTATCCCAAGAAGTAGATGCCAAGAAAATTCTTCCCGGTAACTACTGATATCTGTGCTTATGAGAAGTGCAGTGAGTTTTGCTATTCAGTTTCTACCCAGCGAGGCTTTTCTTTTTTGGAGTGTTTGAGGTATATTCTTCTGCACAGCTATTTCATGACATGTGTCATTCTTCAAAGTCAGAGTCATTCCCACCTGAGTGTATGCAAACCAAACCTCTGCCTTTGTTCACTGATAAGTGCCTCCATTATCCTGCTCTTTCCACTTACTGATTTGCTTTTGAGACTTGTACACAAGCAATTTTTTGACTTGAAGGCAAATCTGTTGCAATAACGCTGAATCTGCAGAATAGACCACCTGGAAAATATTTGATCTTCCGCTGGAAAACATTTTGCTTTTGCAGGTTGGTGGACTGTCTCAAATAATGCCACAATGTAAAATGTCTGGGTCAAATTTTGAGTTGATGAGGCAACGCTGTCTGGCCAGAATATCCTTAGGGTCAGGGAGATGATGGTCTCGGGGATCAGTGCTGTCATGGAGCATGCTTTGCCCTGCAGACAATGAATCGGTTTCCATCTTCATTGTATCTGTTTTATAGCTGCTGCAGAAGCACTCTGAGATTGATCCTGACCCACTACTGTTACATGTATGTCCTACAAGAGCAATGTTTGATCATGATAACCACTGGAATGTACTCATTTAAAGAACTGCAACACAGCCCCAGAGGAAGAACTTATACATATGTGTATATATATATATATATATATATATATGTAACTATATATATTCTTTTTTCATATGGGAATTTTCCCAGAATCTCAAAGCCATTGGTGAAGTTGTAACCAACTCTAACTTTTGCATTTTTCTTCCCTTCCCCCCGCCCCCCATGATTAAAAATGCCACCACCACCACCTGGAAACCCATCTCAGATGCCACTCCTTCAAGTAGTGTTTCCCACTTGTATCGAACCAGGGGTTTGGAGCCTATCATGGGACTACCTGCAAATAATGCTGTGGTTCTGATTCCTCCAGTGTGTCTTCATAGACCTGATGTCAGCTTCTTTCTTGTGGAGATGAAGGTATTTCTGGCTCTGTGATTCATGGGTTTGCTATAAAGCAATAAATGGTGACACTTGTGGATGTTGACTTATGTGTTTTGTGTTGCCTGTTGTGCCTCCTAATTTGCTTGTAGGTTGTGTGATTTTAACAGTTGGCCATGAGTGGCAGGCTGCACTTGTTGGTTTGTTACTCTGGAGTTATGAGTGTGGGCTGAACTGTTGGCATTAATTATTTTTAATAGTGAGTCAGACACTGAATTATAGGATCTTTTCCTTGGATAGGAGAACAAACAAAGAAACAAATGGCCCTCCTCTCCCACCCCCAACATAAGTCACATTTTGTCTCCTCTGACCTCAACCAGCCCCTTAAATTTTGTATCAAACATTAGAAAGAAAGAGGTCAAAGCAGGAACCCTGTTGTAAAAATACAACACAGCCAACCCATATATGAACTATGGGAACTTGTCATCTTATCATCCTAATTGAAGTCATACTGCAATGTATGACAGCCCATCATATATTCTGCCAGTCAGTGTGTCATACATGATGTGTAACGAGAGAGCTCATAAACCCAGAGGGGAAGTCCCTTCTCTTTTATTACTTTATTTGATCATTTTCATAAAAATTCCCCTTGCACAAAACAGAGGGATGTGTTTATTAGCCACGTTAAATCTTTGTCCATTCATTTGACACTGTGATTTACACAGATTTACTCACAAAAAAAAATCCCATTATTTCCATTCTGGAGAGCTGTCTTTTTTTTATATATTTTCATTGTGTGATGAAATCTATATATTTAATGCCACAGGTGATGGCAAAGAAAGAGGAGGTTGTTGTCAGAAACTCAGAAGTAAACGGTGAGTTTCTTTAGGTATAATTGACTCAGGGAAAGAAAACATTCCCAGTGAACACAGAAATATAAATAAATAAAGATGCTCTTCCCAAGGAGCGGGAATTGAACCATCTCAGCTGATCTTTTTTTTTCCTATGTGCCTTCATTAAAAATAGCAGAATTTGGCAAAAAAATAAAAATAATAATAAAAAAAATCCCTCTGTGTTCTACTCATGAATGTTTCTAGAAAATATCAGCTTTCATACGCAAATATTCTTGAAGTGAAATTGGTGGCTTCCTTTGAACACAGCTAGTGCCTCAAATCCCATCTGCTTTTCCTACAACACGCCCACTCATTATCTAGCTTATTTGGCTTTATTTTATTTTTTTTTTAATGAACACAAATTAAGCTATTTAATCAAATATGTACATGATTACATGGCATTTTTGCATAAGAGTCATACACCCACGGAAATCATTAATCACAGATAACAACACCACGTTAAAATTAGACATTTTGCTTTCTTTCTTTGTGTGTATGTGCGTGTGCTTTTTAACATAATATCCTGCATAGCTCTAATTTCACCTCCACTCTCATTTGAATAAAGCAGGATTGTTTTACATCAAATTATTCATTTGTCTGTAGCTCTGATAATTAGTATTTATGTTTAGGCTTGATCTCAGAGGAATAATAATACAGGACTTGAAAATACAACTGGAATGGATCAGGTCTTTTTTTTGGTTTGTTTCTTCCCTGTTTTGCTTCCACAGAATGTCACCATGACTGTCCATTGGCAAACTGGATAAGAAAGAGTGTCACACTGCAGGACAACCTAGAAGATGACAGGTATTTCCAGGCACAGCAATGATGAGATCAAATTCCCCTCAACCTGCCTTGTTTGCTGATCTTTTAATCAGATTCAACTTCACTGCAGCTACAGCACAAGGTTCCCTGACAATGTATGACAGCATGTGACAGAAAAATATTTGGATTTTTTTTTTTTTTACCATTTGATGCTATTTCAGATATATCTGAAGCTCTGGCAGCATCTGCTAAATCTACTGAACTGTTTTAGTGGAGGTTTTTAAACGTGCATAATTGAACTGGAGGGTTTGGGGGGTTGTGTTCATGTGCATGTAGGGGAATCCAAACAGGAAAGCTGGGAAATGATCTAAACCCTTTGAGGTTAACGTGCCATGAAAGAGCATCAACAACCGAAGAGGACATTATTAAAAAGCAGCCAACCCAGCTCAAAAAGAACCACTCTGTGAAGCAAGAGCCTGCAGAACAACACCCAGGGCTGTTTGTGATCCCACTGGGATATGTATTTCATCCCCTGTCTTCATATCTCCAGATTTCCTCTGAACTGCTTCTGAGACGCATTCTCGAAAAAGAAAAACACCAGCAACTACTGAATGCCTCTTATCAACCTTTTCCCCGCAATCTGTTTCGTATTCGTCTCACACCCTTGTTCTTGCAGTGTCTTGGGGAAATGCTCGGATCAAAGATAAGAGAGAACAAGGAAAGGAATGAAGCAAGAGGCAAACAACAAAACAAACCCTCCCCCCCCCCTCCCCAAAACTTCTTGACTAAACTTCTCTGCAAATCGTGTGCATGATTACAGCGCTGTTAAAACTGCCTTCTTCTTTGCCAGTACTTAATTCCTGCTTTTAAAATCAGGCTTCCTTTGATCTTGAGGATTGAAATGATCTGGAAATGAAACAGCCATTGCTTTGCAGAAAATCTGGATAGGGTCCCAGGCATGGCTTTTACCTGGAAGGATTCCAAAATAGGATGAAATCTCTCCGGTTTCAGAACAAATTGCAAGATTTTTCTCTATGTCTAGTCCAACTGTGGAACTCCAGCCCTGACGTCTGCTAGTTTCCAAAGCGCAGATGTAATAACCTCTAAGGTGAACTGTGAGCCCCATTTCTCCATTTTCTTCCCTCTGCCTCTCCTTCAAGGATCAAATGTTTGGAGAATTTTATTAAAACAAAGGCTTAAATTTCTGAGCAAACTTAAGTTGAGGAGACAGTTGCTTATAACCTGCGCTAGGTTCAGCCACAGGGGTGTTGAGCAGGACAGAGGAGCAGGAGCATCTGTAACATCTGGATCTTGTTGCATATGGAGAAATATCTGCCTGGCTTTGCACAACCTGATCCCAGAGCCAAAAGGGCTGAAAAATGCAGTAAAGAGACAATGTGAAGCTGGCTTTGCCCTACCAAATAAGTCCCACTGAGAAAGTAAGCACATCAATATTTCTTTGAGTGTTTTTCTTCTAGTTAATATATTTCCATATGTTGCATGAATATTTCTTTTACTGGGGATTGCAAGTCCATCTGGTACTTGTATTGGGAAGGCTTGAGCTGGCAGATCCCTGCTCTGTGCTCCATTGCAGAGATTTGGACTACTCTTACAGGAATCATAGAATCACATAATCATTAAGGCTGGAAAGACCAATAAGATCATCCAGTCCAACCATCAACCCATGCCTGTGAATGCTCTAGACCACATCTCCACGTGCCACATCTCCATGGTTCTTGAGCACCTCCAGGGACAGTGACTCCACCACCTGCCTGGGCAGCCTGTGCCAATGCATCACCACTCTTTCTGAGAAGTTTTTCCTAACATCCAACCTGAGAACAGTTGTTGATAAGTTAGAGACAACTATTCATCAGCTATCTTTTTAGTTAGAACTTTCAAAAGAAATGCAGGGTATCAAGTTACTTACTATCATATCAGTATGTTCCCACAGTGTCATTTTTTTTATGTTATAAATTAAATAAGGGCTTTGTATCTGAGGGGCAACAGTCAACAAGAAAGAAACCTCTCTCTCTGTATGCAGTTCTTAGTGCACCAACTCTGACCTACAAATCATAACGGAGAAAGGATGCCTGAACATCAATACTAAGCAGAAAATGTGCTGAAATGTCATAGTTTGCCAAGACAATGAGAATCACTTTCCCTTGTACGTATTACTCCAGAACAGGGAAATAATTATCTGCTTTCATACAAGCTTTTTCCTTCTGCATGATTAATTTCACTGATATCAATAGAGAATGTGATGACTCCGGAATGACAGCTCCTGGTAGCATGTCTAGGATTAGCACAAACAGGTTGTCATTGTACCCCAGTTAGGAACAGTCAGTCTTGTGCCGAGTGCGGGTCAGAAAAGCCAGGCTGGACACCAGACATCTGCCAGCACCATGTCTGTCTTCATACTGGTTGGCTCTCAGATTGGGATATAGAGCTGGCTACTTCAATGGGGCACAAGGGCCTTCATGCAGACCCACATGATGGTGGTTGAGAAGTTTCCAGATCCAAATTGCCTGGTTATCCTTGTGCTAAGGCATGACTTGCAGCCTAAAATCTGCGTACTTCAGCTCATGGAATGGTTGGATGGAGAGGACGGTCAAAGATGCAAGAGAACAAGCTGAGGCATTGATATTAAACAACCAAACTATACGTTTACTAAAGTTGTAAAAACATCTGTCTTAGGTCTCCTGTGGAAAGTAATCAATATGTGGAAAACTGGATAATAACTATGGGGACAGCAGGAACGTGCCTATAAACTGTGAAGCTATTGTGAGCATACAGAGCTATCTGAGAAAGGCACTGGGGCAGGGTAGCAGTGCTCAGTGGAGCTAGGACAGGGCCCACATAAAGGGATTCTTCAGCAAAGTCCATACTTTGTCAATGTCAAGATACATGGGAACTGTAAAACAAAGCAAACCGTGTGCATGGAATGAAAATAGAAATTTAGTCCAGCATCGTGTGCCTTTGAAAACGTCATAATCCTTTTTAAAAAGATGACAAAAAAGCTGTGTATTTTTTAAGAAACGTAGCAGGTGAAAGGATTCATTCTCAAAAATCCATGAAGTGTACAGTGATGAGTTATTGAGGATTGGGGGGGAGGGTGTTTTTGTAATTCTGTAGGCATCTCAGTCCTCTGGTGAAATGATGTATGGGGCAATCGTCTGGTAGGGGCTGATGGGATGTAAATGAAACTAATTAAGGAAATGTCAAACATAATTAATAAAACAGGTTTAAGTTGCAAAAGCACTGTCAGCTGAATGAATGGGGAAGAGTGTGGCATTCCCATTGTTGTGGGGCTTGCTTACTTATTTATATATTTATTTATTTATTCCTTGCTCACCCCCTTGGCCTCCCACCAGCTCTGCAGTTGCATCGTTCAATTAGATCTCAGAAAGCTCTTGCATTTCGTCCTTGCCCCCCTTCTGAGCTGGGGTCCCATAGAATAGGAGGAATATAAATTTGCCCTGTCGGTTTGCAGCCTGGGAAGAAGAAGAAAAAAATTAATTGCTAACTCCTCATCTTCCCTAAGTACTACAGGACATTAACATAACCAATTTGCTTGAACTCCTCACTGGCTGCTTAATAGAGCATCTGACCAGCTGATAAGACCTGGGTGCTGCTGCCTATGATACCTTGTTATTAGCATTTTCATAATATTCAGATATTACAGCCCCATGATTCACTAGCCTCCATTCATTATTGATAAGTACAAAAAATAAATAAAAAGGGTTTATAAATTGCAAAAGGGGGTGAGCGACCTATAATTATGGCAAGCAAATTAGGGTGCATGGTAGAGTCAGTTACATTTGCCTAGGAGTAATGATGCTCAAGAACTTCTTCTCCCCAGGGACAAGAAAAATAATGGATTCCCTGGCAGCTGCAGATGGGCTAGGAAAGGCTGTCATCCAGGACACTGTTTATATAAGTTAGGCTGAGCATATGGCTCTGCGTCCTCCTGTAGCCATCTCCAGATAATGCTATTTCAATGACATTAAACAAATACATAAATAAAAATAACTGGACAGTGGTGGTGGTGGTGAAAGGATATGAGGAGGAGAAAAAGCAGGTTCAGAGAGTCCACAGCAAAGTTTCTACTGAGAGCATTCCCAGCAGCTCAGCAATCCCGCAAAAGCAGAGTCTGCCCAGCTGAATCACTGCAGAGAAAAAGATGAACTGCTATTTCTGCTAAAACAAAACCTTTTCCATGCTCCAGTCTAAGACAGATGTATTTATACACCAAAGCTTTGAGCCTGAGATGATAGAAAACATGGTTGCAAGTAGGAGCTACTAGAAATAACCACTGGATACTTTATAATTTAGTCCCTGTGGTTTTATTTCCATTAATCCAATCAAAGGCCTTTTTTCTTTACTAATGAAACTGGAATGAAACACAAAAGGGAGGCTGACCTGTTAGCAGGTGACTGTTTCTTATAAGTTATTCATTAAAAACACCCCAACACTCTAGTGCTGAAGGAGACCGTACCTATTTCTGTATAAATTAAACATAAGTGACTCGGTTGCAAGAAAAAAAAAAAGTTATTTCTCTTGGCTTCAAAACATTGTACAGCACTTGGAGGAAACTGCACCCTTTCAGACATTTGCAGAGAATTAGAGACTTAAGTTACATTCCAGGTGCTCCTACTATTTTCTGTTCCAGGCAGCCCTAAACATCTACTGCAGGCATGGATATTACCAATGTTTTGCAGACAGAGGCGTGCTTTAGGTAAGTTAAGAATGAGCCTCAGTTTGGCCTTCCTTGTGAGTGTTAGAGGAGGCTCAGGAATAGAAGGGAAGAACTTTGCCAGAAAAAAATGCAGGTGGAAAGGCTTCTCCCTTTTATTTTGCTTTTTTTTTTTTTTTTTTTTTCCTTTATTAAATTCAATTACATCATTACCGAAATTGCTTTTGGCATTGTACTGTTGATCTGCATCATTCAGTCCTTCTCTTGGGAACCCTGAAGAATGTCCCATTGGCATTACCCACTATCTGCAAATGCTTACCTGCCTACAAACTCTACTGTTCATTTTTGACTTTCCATGGATGTTCTCAGCATTTTTATGGGCCAGAATTACTAGCAAGTACTGCTAGTACTTGCTAGCATAAGTATAATATAAGTATATTCTTATCAGAGTATAAATTTCTTGAGAACTTTCCTGTATCTTATCCAAAAGGAAAAAATAAGATAATGTATTAGAGCAATCTGCCAGTTTGCCGATCTGCATTCCTCAACAGCCTATCCTTAGAGACTGGTTCATTTTGATTTATCCAAGAAAAGACCCAAACTTAAGCTTATTCATTCTCACACTTCGAACTCTGGTGTGGTTTACAAAGTGGACAGAAGCTCAGCAATGAACCTTGCTTCTGCAGCAAGCAGAAAGCGAAACATTCTCCACCAAACATCCCCAATCCTGTACAAGCTCAGACCTGGGCTTGAGCCGTCCATCTTCAACACAAGCATCCATCTTACAAAGGGATCCTCAGGCAACCTGTAGATGGTGTTTTCCTTGAATCGCATGTTGACATCATGGGAAAGAAATGCAAACCCAAAGTGACACAGATTTGCATGCCTCTTCCTTTGTGTTTAAGCATAGCCTGTTGCTTTAGTGCTGCTGCATTTTGGCCAATATAAGCAGCAAAGTACTTATCTGGAATATATATCTTTTCTCCAAGCCCTCAAAGTTTTAGGGTTTTTTTTTGGAGGCGAAATATCATTCTTAAGAATAAA